ATATGTTGCTTATTGACTAAAGTCATTACTTGGAGAAGCAGGTAGCCTAATTGGTTAGCAAGTTATGATGCACCGTTACTTCTCTATAATGAGACAAGCTATGCTCAAAATCTATCAAACATAGACTTATATGTGATACATATTCAACATGTGTTGGACACATATGTTGCTTGTCCAATAAATGATAAAATTAAAAAAATCATGTGCTCTAAATAATTAACTTAAAAAATTAAAAATTATGCAACAATCATTTGTATCATTCCTAAATATCATTATTTTTTATCCTTCCAATGTTAAATTTTTTGAATTATTTCTTCCTTATTTAGTTTATGTGATTGTTATGTATTATTTTGAAATTTTTATGGTATATGTTTATGTAAATTATAAAGTCGTGTCAAAAGCGTGTCAACATCCGATATTCTAAAATTGAATGTCTGTGTGTGGGGCATCCTAGCTAATGAGTAGCTTTTAAGTTTATGCAAGCTATTTTGAGTATAGAGGAGTATAAACTTAATTGATTAATAAGTTGTGTATGCTAGGACGTGCATTTAAGGGCTACTTTATTATTAAACTAATATTACATGATAGTTTTCGGAAGCACACAGGTCACTTAGCAAGTTTTATGACACTATATACTGAATGCAATATGCCCCCAACGAGTCTAACATGATTTTGGCGACTTTGGGACGACTCTTGGGACTCATGATTTTATAGTGAATTTGATATGTTTATTATTTTCTTTTCTTTCATACGACAAACTCTCAAAGCACCTTAGATTGAACTAATGAAAATCATATTTAAGAAATATTTAAGTACACTAAATTAATAAAAAAAGACAACCAATTAAAAAATTCATAAAAGCTTTTAAAATAGATGCATTTAACTGACTGAGGGACCGTTTGAGGCGGCGGTGAGTTTTATCTGTTTGGGTAAACTGTGTTTCGACAATTTTTTCAAAAAGCTGCTATTGAAACCTGTATTTTCCTACTGATTCTGGCCGGGTGCGATTGCAAATTTCTAGTTGCAGTATGACTTAAAAAAAATTGTAATAATCACCGCAATTTTTTTTTTAAGATCAATTTATTTTTCAATAGCTTAGGAACAATTTTTTTAATAAGTTGCAACACCCCCAAACATACCTTAAATTGTAAGAAAGTTGAATTAATAGCATAAATAAATACTTCCAATAACATGAAGCCTAACAAATAGACTATAATTTCGGGTCCAAATATTGAACTATGGCAAATGTAGAAAATATGGGGATTAAAAAAAATGGAAATTTATATTTATATATATATATATACATACATACAATTAAATTCATATATTTATACATCAACCTATAGTTTGATATATATATTTATAACATTTTGATATAATAAATCAATATATGAAAAGAAGTATTTTAATTATGAAGATATTTTTGAAGTGTTATTAAAATTATTAGTAATATAAATGTAGTTATGAAAGTTTTGATATTAGATATGTAAATACATATAAATTGCGTGGTTTGTGTGAAAATGCCCCCAAAAATTAAATTAATTTATTATTATTTATATTCAATAATAACGCAAATCAAATAAATTTGCCTGTGCCCCCCTTGCTTCCTACGCACTGCAAACCCTAGAATCGACTGCGAGAGATTGGGGCAAAGCGAAAGCCTGAAGGAGATGGCGAAGTCTATGAGGTCGAAGCGAAAGAAGAGGCTGAGGTCTTTGAGGAGGGAGATCGCCGAGCCCTTCTACGAGAAGAAAGAGGCTGCCAAGCTTGCTGCCCAGCAAGCTGCTCTTGAAGCCCCCAAGCTTCCTGTACGCGTTCACAAGAATGACTCCGAGGCCGATGTGCCAGCCGAACCGTCCACTGCCATGGGTTAGCTCCATCTTTCCACTTATTTTGATCTATGTTTACACCCGGGTGATATCTATGGCATCTATCTTGAATCCTCACAATATACAGCTTCTTAGTTTGTCTCTTATGCAGCTACGCGCTGTTCAAATTTCTGTCATTGTTTCGTCGGTTTTTAACTTGATTCCATTTTCACTCCAGGGCTGATTTGTTTTCTTGAAGTTAGAAAATGTTTTGAAACTGATGAATTTCCTGGACCCTATAATTTGGATGGACGTTAATTTTGAAATTATTTTGGGGTTTACACTTTGAAAATAGCTTCTATATCACTCAACAGCTAGGATTTCACAGATACACAATTTCTAAAACATTTTTTCTATGCATAGGCAGCCAAACAAGGCGTTAACAAAATTTGCGTGCAATGTTCTAGCCTTTGAATTGTTCTGACTTCTAAAGTGCTTCTGATTGGATGGCTACATGTAAACTATCAGATTACTTGTGCCGGGTGATATACCGCCGATTGAAGCGCACAATTGATACCACTGAATGGACATTAAGAGCCGCTTGAAGTTAGATGAAAAATGATTAACTTTGTTATAGTCATTGTTTGGTTTGATATAGTTAGAAACCAACATTGATTTTAAAGTACACAAACTTTCTCAAAACTCCCAACAATGATGATTTTATTTTACCCTAAAAGACGAGGAAATCAAATCCTCATTTTCTTAAACATATTTTCAAATTACAAGCGACCAAATGAGGTCTATATGTTGCTTATTGACTAAAGTCATTACTTGGAGAAGCAGGTAGCCTAATTGGTTAGCAAGTTATGATGCACCGTTACTTCTCTATAATGAGACAAGCTATGCTCAAAATCTATCAAACATAGACTTATATGTGATACATATTCAACATGTGTTGGACACATATGTTGCTTGTCCAATAAATGATAAAATTAAAAAAATCATGTGCTCTAAATAATTAACTTAAAAAATTAAAAATTATGCAACAATCATTTGTATCATTCCTAAATATCATTATTTTTTATCCTTCCAATGTTAAATTTTTTGAATTATTTCTTCCTTATTTAGTTTATGTGATTGTTATGTATTATTTTGAAATTTTTATGGTATATGTTTATGTAAATTATAAAGTCGTGTCAAAAGCGTGTCAACATCCGATATTCTAAAATTGAATGTCTGTGTGTGGGGCATCCTAGCTAATGAGTAGCTTTTAAGTTTATGCAAGCTATTTTGAGTATAGAGGAGTATAAACTTAATTGATTAATAAGTTGTGTATGCTAGGACGTGCGTTTAAGGGCTACTTTATTATTAAACTAATATTACATGATAGTTTTCGGAAGCACACAGGTCACTTAGCAAGTTTTATGACACTATATACTGAATGCAATATGCCCCCAACGAGTCTAACATGATTTTGGCGACTTTGGGACGACTCTTGGGACTCATGATTTTATAGTGAATTTGATATGTTTATTATTTTCTTTTCTTTCACACGACAAACTCTCAAAGCACCTTAGATTGAACTAATTTTTTCTATGCATAGGCAGCCAAACAAGGCGTTAACAAAATTTGCGTGCAATGTTCTAGCCTTTGAATTGTTCTGACTTCTAAAGTGCTTCTGATTGGATGGCTACATGTAAACTATCAGATTACTTGTGCCGGGTGATATACCGCCGATTGAAGCGCACAATTGATACCACTGAATGGACATTAAGAGCCGCTTGAAGTTAGATGAAAAATGATTAACTTTGTTATAGTCATTGTTTGGTTTGATATAGTTAGAAACCAACATTGATTTTAAAGTACACAAACTTTCTCAAAACTTCCAGCAATGATGATTTTATTTTACCCTAAAAGATGAGGAAATCAAATCCTCATTTTCTTAAACATATTTTCAAATTACAAGCGACCAAATGAGGTCTAAGACAATAGTGATACTCTCCAAATTGCGAGCCATAGATGGAATTGAAGCGGGATCAATCTCTTGATGCATGGTTTTGGTTTGGTGCAGGTAAGTTACATTAGTAATTTTGGTGAGATTAACCAGCATAGAACAATTCAGACAAGAAAAATAAAATAATTTAGATCCAATCACCGACAAGTTGTCCTGCAACTGACTTCAGCAAGTTATCCTTAAAACCATAATCATGACCTGAGTCACAGATTGCTATGCACTTATTCAACAAAATATGTATCATCTTCAGCTTCCCTTCAAAAGAACCAACATGTCTTTTTACTGGAGAAACAAAAGGTAAGGGTTGGTAGCCCCTCAAAGACTTACTTGTTCGGATTGTATAGATTTTGATTACAATTGTTAGGCACTGGTTGAAGGAGGCCGGTGGTGGGAACTCTTAAGGGATTCAATGATGGGATATATATGAGGGATTATTTGGAGGATAATGGAAGTTTTTATAGGATTTAATGGTTGGCCAAGGCTTATTTACTTAAAACCTATAGTTTGATATATATATTTATAACATTTTGATATAATAAATCAATATATGAAAAGAAGTATTTTAATTATGAAGATATTTTTGAAGTGTTATTAAAATTATTAGTAATATAAATGTAGTTATGAAAGTTTTGATATTAGATATGTAAATACATATAAATTGCGTGGTTTGTGTGAAAATGCCCCCAAAAATTAAATTAATTTATTATTATTTATATTCAATAATAACGCAAATCAAATAAATTTGCCTGTGCCCCCCTTGCTTCCTACGCACTGCAAACCCTAGAATCGACTGCGAGAGATTGGGGCAAAGCGAAAGCCTGAAGGAGATGGCGAAGTCTATGAGGTCGAAGCGAAAGAAGAGGCTGAGGTCTTTGAGGAGGGAGATCGCCGAGCCCTTCTACGAGAAGAAAGAGGCTGCCAAGCTTGCTGCCCAGCAAGCTGCTCTTGAAGCCCCCAAGCTTCCTGTACGCGTTCACAAGAATGACTCCGAGGCCGATGTGCCAGCCGAACCGTCCACTGCCATGGGTTAGCTCCATCTTTCCACTTATTTTGATCTATGTTTACACCCGGGTGATATCTATGGCATCTATCTTGAATCCTCACAATATACAGCTTCTTAGTTTGTCTCTTATGCAGCTACGCGCTGTTCAAATTTCTGTCATTGTTTCGTCGGTTTTTAACTTGATTCCATTTTCACTCCAGGGCTGATTTGTTTTCTTGAAGTTAGAAAATGTTTTGAAACTGATGAATTTCCTGGACCCTATAATTTGGATGGACGTTAATTTTGAAATTATTTTGGGGTTTACACTTTGAAAATAGCTTCTATATCAGTCAACAGCTAGGATTTCACAGATATACAATTTCTAAAACATTTTTTCTATGCACAGGCAGCCAAACAAGGCGTTAACAAAATTTGCATGCAATGTCTAGCCTTTGAATTGTTCTGACTTCTAAAGTGCTTCTGATTGGATGGCTACATGTAAACTATCAGATTACTTGTGCCGGGTGATATACCGCCAATTGAAGCGCACAATTGATACCACTGAATGGACATTAAGAGCCGCTTGAAGTTAGATGAAAAATGATTAACTTTGTTATAGTCATTGTTTGGTTTGATATAGTTAGAAACCAACATTGATTTTAAAGTACACAAACTTTCTCAAAACTTCCAGCAATGATGATTTTATTTTACCCTAAAAGATGAGGAAATCAAATCCTCATTTTCTTAAACATATTTTCAAATTACAAGCGACCAAATGAGGTCTAAGACAATAGTGATACTCTCCAAATTGCGAGCCATAGATGGAATTGAAGCGGGATCAATCTCTTGATGCATGGTTTTGGTTTGGTGCAGGTAAGTTACATTAGTAATTTTGGTGAGATTAACCAGCATAGAACAATTCAGACAAGAAAAATAAAATAATTTAGATCCAATCACCGACAAGTTGTCCTGCAACTGACTTCAGCAAGTTATCCTTAAAACCATAATCATGACCTGAGTCACAGATTGCTATGCACTTATTCAACAAAATATGTATCATCTTCAGCTTCCCTTCAAAAGAACCAACATGTCTTTTTACTGGAGAAACAAAAGGTAAGGGTTGGTAGCCCCTCAAAGACTTACTTGTTCGGATTGTATAGATTTTGATTACAATTGTTAGGCACTGGTTGAAGGAGGCCGGTGGTGGGAACTCTTAAGGGATTCAATGATGGGATATTTATGAGGGATTATTTGGAGGATAATGGAAGTGTTTATAGGATTTAGTGGTTGGCCAAGGCTTATTTACTTAGCTTGGCTGAGATAAATAATGCGAGAGAGAAGAGATGGTACATAGTATAAAAACAGATAATTTTGAAAATCTTGCCAAAACCTTCAATTAGATAAAGGAGCCACCCAGCCATTTCAACACGCAAGGATCTTTAAAAGGTTTGACGATGGTTGATTGAAACTTTATCAAAGCTTGTCTTGATTGATCTTGATCATCATACACTTTTATGATGGAGGAGGCCTGCATAAGGAATGAAATCCAATCCTCCATTTCATCAACATGCTTGATTTTAATCACGCTCACGCTTGAAATTGGATTGTTTTGTTGTGCCATTACCTTTGCATTGTTTTTCAAAAACTTAGCAAATAGTATATCTGGATACTCTACATTAAACCATAGTGAGATAAAAAAAAGTATCCTATTTGAAATTTAAAAGTTGCTAACAAGGAGAAAACAATGACGGGTAATGCGCTCTTCTTATTTTCAATTTTTTATTATTTTTTTTTTACCGTAAGCATGTATAAGAACGAATGGATGTCATGTCATCATTTGAGTAGACAATTACAAAAAAATAGAAAACTCCTTTTTAAAAGTAATGAATTGAGGAGGGATCTCAATTTTGAAATGGGCTATTCATTTATTTATATGATATCTTTTATATATTGACTTTTGAAGACTGAGAATTCCAATCATGTTTAAAACTTAAGGTTAAATAAATATTTATTTTTCTTTTGAAATAATATTAAAAATTTTGTATGATATTTTAAGATTTAACCTTTTTATTTCATTTAAACAAAAAAAACAATAACAATATTTCACTCATGACCTTGAGAAAAGAAACCAATTGCTTGTTCATATAATATTTCACTGCTAGGGTAATATTTTTCAATATATGGGTGTAGATAAGCTATTTTGATGCATGCATTTTATTTTATTTTTGTCACAATTACCTTTGCCATGAAATATACCAAATCTTTTCCGGGTGATTCCTGTATCAGCTTAATGCCAAAATACATAGGACTTGTATCTATTATCTTTTCTTGGGATTTACATGTCTAATTTAGGGTATCTATGAGGTAGAGGTGCCAAGTTGTTAGGTGCTGTGGAGTGCTAAGGATTAATCGATTCAGCTGTTTTTTCACATCTTTCTACATATTGTATAATTTATCATAGGTGTCAGATGTAGTTTGTAAAGTTTTATTAAGATCCTTTAACACATTGTGATTTCATGATGATCTGCACAAAAGTTTTGAATATTTGAAGGATTAATTTTTGGGTTGTATGCATTGCTAACAACTAATAATGAGAAATATAAACGATAAAATTCTTAATGATTTTACATTTGTAACTACATGGAGCTTGATGTTGATGTATTGGTGCATTTTTAGAGTCTTCCAAAAAATATTATGGCTATGCTTTAACTTTGATACCAAATCAAAGAGAACAATGACGGGTATCTTGAGAGATTTATTGATAGGATAATCATAAGGGCTGACCAAGGCTTGATTATTTTTGCCGAGAGGAACTATGGGAAATGAGAGAAGAGATATAAGTACTAAAAGGATATAGCCAAGAAGATTCCATAAAATGTTTTCAATTAGCTGAAGGAAGCTATCATCACAATTCATTATTAGTTGATTAGCAACACTTAACATAATGAGTAAGAGAGTCATTCAATATTTGAGCCCATTTTGATTCATAAAGAAGGAAGGTTTGACGATGGTTGATTGAAACTTTATCAAAGCTTGTCTTGATTGATCTTGATCATCATACACTTTTATGATGGAGGAGGCCTGCATAAGGGATGAAATCCAATCCTCCATTTCATCAACATGCTTGATTTTAATCACGCTCAAGCTTGAAATTGGATTGTTTTGTTGTGCCATTACCTTTGCATTGTTTTTCAAAAACTTAGCAAATAGTATATCTGGATACTCTACATTAAACCATAGTGAGATAAAAAAAAAAGTATCCCATTTGAAATTTAAAAGTTGCTAACAAGGAGAGAACAATGACGGGTATCTCGAGAGATTTATTGATGGATAATCATAAGGGCTGACCAAGGCTTGATTATTTTTGCCGAGAGGAACTATGGGAAATGAGAGAAGAGATATAAGTACTAAAAGGATATAGCCAAGAAGATTCCATAAAATGTTTTCAATTAGCTGAAGGAAGCTATCATCACAATTCATTATTAGTTGATTAGCAACACTTAACATAATGAGTAAGAGAGTCATTCAATATTTGAGCCCATTTTGATTCATAAAGAAGGAAGGTTTGACGATGGTTGATTGAAACTTTATCAAAGCTTGTCTTGATTGATCTTGATCATCATACACTTTTATGATGGAGGAGGCCTGCATAAGGGATGAAATCCAATCCTCCATTTCATCAACATGCTTGATTTTAATCACGCTCAAGCTTGAAATTGGATTGTTTTGTTGTGCCATTACCTTTGCATTGTTTTTAAAAAACTTAGCAAATAGTATATCTGGATACTCTACATTAAACCATAGTGAGATAAAAAAAAAAGTATCCCATTTGAAATTTAAAAGTTGCTAACAAGGAGATAACTCTTCTAAAAATTGCGCTCTTCTTATTTTCAATTTTTTATTATTATTTTTTTACCGTAAGCATGTATAAGAACGAATGGATGTCATGTCATCATTTGAGTAGACAATTACAAAAAAATAGAAAACTCCTTTTTAAAAGTAATGAATTGAGGAGGGATCTCAATTTTGAAATGGGCTATTCATTTATTTATATGATATCTTTTATATATTGACTTTTGAAGACTGAGAATTCCAATCATGTTTAAAACTTAAGGTTAAATAAATATTTATTTTTCTTTTGAAATAATATTAAAAATTTTGTATGATATTTTAAGATTTAACCTTTTTATTTCATTTAAACAAAAAAAACAATAACAATATTTCACTCATGACCACCTTTTTATTTCATTTAAACAAAAAAAAAAAAAAACAATAACAATATTTCACTCATGACCTTGAGAAAAGAAACCAATTGCTTGTTCATATAATATTTCACTGCTAGGGTAATATTTTTCAATATATGGGTGTAGATAAGCTATTTTGATGCATGCATTTTATTTTATTTTTGTCACAATTACCTTTGCCATGAAATATACCAAATCTTTTCCGGGTGATTCCTGTATCAGCTTAATGCCAAAATACATAGGACTTGTATCTATTATCTTTTCTTGGGATTTACATGCGTGCTACAAAATGCTTATGTATTTGTATACGTAACACAGAAATATTAATATTTTCAAATATAACACCATAACCTTTAAATCACATAAAAATACCACTAATATTAACTTATTTGAAGTAAAGTTCTTCATTGCATATATCTTGATGTGATTGGGATTCCTTGAATATGTTAGATAAGTAAATATGAAGAATTTAAAGTAATAGCTACATAAAGGCATAATAACAGTACCTGCTTGATTAAGCTTTCTGAATTGTTTCTGATTAGATATCGAAATTGCTGATGGAGTGAGCTCTCAAGGAGATGTTTCAAAATCACTTCTAAAGCCACTGGGAGGTATAGGTAAGAAGAAGCTAAAAAAGAAGCTATTGCTGAAGAAGCTGAAGCGACGCGGCAAAGGCAAAGGCAAAGGAAGTTTCAGGAGAAGAAAGATTTAGTTAGTTGCTTTGATCTAAAATTGCCTTTCAAAACACGTGTTTGTAAAACTAAGTTGATGAATTGTCCTGTTCTCATATTCAAATGAATTTTGCCTCTTTTGTTACATTAATGAATGATTGCCTGGCTTTTGCAGTTTAGGAGTCATTGGGAGTATGTGGTGATTTGTTTGTTTTGTGTTGAATCAAATGAATTTTTAGGTTTGATTTGAAGGAAAATGAAATCAATATGAAGCATGTTTAACGATAGGATGGTGATGGCGGAGAGATGAAGCTTCAGCGATGGCGGTCACCTGGTGTAAGTTGCGGGTGGTTGGCATCGGCGATAGTGGGTGGAGGCAAGCAAGCAGCTGGTTCACAATGGTGACCACAATAAGCATTGTATTGGGACTGATCGTTAAGGATATAATGAAAAAGAAGATTGTAAGATTTACATATATTCCACTTAAATCCTATGAATTTACATTTCAAAGACTTGCACTTCAACTTTTTATACATGTCATCTTATCTATCCATTAAAAAATGCATCACTCTTTAAAAGTTAAAATGGAGTGATATTTTTTATGTGACATGGAAGATTTGGGTGTTATAGAAGTAAAAATAGTTTAAGATTTAGATATGTAAATATGTAGGAATTGGGTGGTATTTATGCAAATGTCCAAAAAATAATTAAATAAATCAAGAACAATACATTACTTTCTTAATTTTGAAATAATATATATATATATAGGCTATTTGTCATGTAAACTTTTTAAAAAAGGGTGTTAATTATTTCATTTATTCTTAGAATTTGTGCTAATTAAATGTATAAGAACTGTATGGTACAGATGTAAATGCAGTTTTTTAATCTCTTAACTCTCAAGGGAAAAATTATTCCATACAGACTGTTTTGATGGGCCTTATTTAAAAAAATAATAAAAAAATTATGATCGACGGCTAAGATCGGACAACATGTTTTGTATGGAATAATTTCGAGAAAAAATATTTTCTAAATGTAAATTTATAAGGTGATCGTAAATCTCCCAGAATTTATCCTCCAGCCGATCAACACCGCCCTTGGTAACTCCTTGCTCCTGCAAGCATCTTGTGCGCTCAGCAGCTTCCCGCCTCCCTCTTCTTTTCAGGAGAAATTATTACGTACGGATGCGGTGTCCGATCCTGACTCTTCCCGCCTCCCTCTTCTTTTCAGGAGAAATTATTGCGTACGGATGCGGTGTCCGATCCTGACTGTGACCTACGATCAGAATTATTTCAGTTTTTTTTTTTTTTTAAAAATTTAGGTGAAGCCATCACTCGATCCACTAATTTAATCACTCGATCCCACAAGCACCATCCGTATGAAATAATTTTTCTACTTTCAACAATCCACTAATCTCATCACTCGATCCCAAGAACCAGAAGCAGGAGATGGAGGAGCTTCTCAGCATGGGCTTCTCAGAGGATCTCGCTTCTCAAGCCCTCGCCGCCACCACCACTCCCACAAACTCTCCCGTCGACGCCGCCGCCGACTGCAGCCTCACCCCC